TCTCTGTCTCTGTCTCTGTCTCTGTCTCTGTCTCTGTCTCTGTCTCTGTCTCTGTCTCTCTGTCCCTCTGTCTCTTACTCTCTCTCTCTCGCTGTCTCTGTCTCTCTGTCTCACTCTCTCTCTCTCTCTCTCGCTGTCTCTATCACTGTCTCTCTGTCTCTATTTATTTCTCTTGCTTGCTTCTTAAATTTAAATTCTCGAAACATTATTCCTATTGCTTCCTCTATCTTCAAAGCATCACAACAGCTCGATAAATATTTAATTATTAAAAGAAGGGAGCAATTTTAATTACTATTTGCCATTTGCCTAAAATGTGGGGCTAGAATTTTCGCACACCAAAGCTATGCTTAACAACCCAAATAAACAAAACAAAACGGAGAAAGACCCGAATAAATTTTCATGCTTAGCTAGATGAAGCATTTCAATTAATATTTAGATTAAAGATATATGCCATAGTGGCAGAAGACTAAAAAAAATATAAAAATACTAAGCAGCATGCATCGAACGATCATATAGATATATAGAGACAATTATGATGTGGTCTATCTTGCACTACATAAAACCAACCGAGAGGCAAATGTCTACAGATTACGAGTGCACTACACTGTAGTATAGTGTAGCATACACACACATGGCATGACAAATTGTATTACCCTCTGGCAGAGTATCAAGTGCCGGCTCGTATAAGCCAACGGCGAGTATAGTTTAAGCTTTAATAACTACATTTACTATGCCATAATGTGCTTTAATGCTGCAAATTGAAATTTTAACGCAACACACAACGGCACTAGCACACACACTCACACACACACACACTTAGATTTTGACAGTGCCCGGCCTCGTCCCGGAACATGGCGTATCCAAAACTATTTGCGGACATGCTGTGCGGTCAGCCTGTGGCCTGGGACCCGTTACGCCTGTCGCCTGCTGGGCGCCATATAAGTTTGCGGTCGCTCCTTTTATTTCATTTTGCATAAGTTCTAAAGTAAACATCATATATAATTAAAATCACAAAACGGTCAATTTAGACTCTGCGAAAGCCATGCGCGCCGAGTGCGACCGAGAGTAATGGGAGCGACGCTCCTCGGGGTCCCTCTGCATATTATAATATTTCCATTAAAATTGGATATTATGTTTCTATGTAAAGTGGCTTATGGGATTTGTTGAATTACTTGAATTTTATGCATTTCCAAAAGCAGTCAACACGCTCTTCAAATCAATTGGGTTTTATTAAAATATATTATGCAAAGGCGATTCGAGGCAGGATCTTGGATAACTGGGTAAATAGACAGAACCAGGTCTAGGCTACATTATTCAAATCGGTAAAGTAAAGCTCACTCGGTTATAGCCAAATGAATTCTGTTGACCAAGACATGACTCAAGCTAGCAATTAAGGAACTTGACTTATATGGCATATTGGTTTACTTCAATATTTGCCTGCACTTTTATAATACGATTTGTACTTGGAGTTGGGCAAATCATTTCTAATTTTTTACTGAGCCGTAGCTATAGCGTTTTTTTTTTATCCACCTCTCTCAAAAGGCCCGAAAAAAACCCGGCAATTTCTTTGAGCTGGAGTAGTGAGCTCCATACATTTGCCATAATTAAGTTTTATGGGCCTTGGATTTTGGCAATTTTGGCAGAGTAAATGGACCTGTATGGCTGAGGGCACGCCGTCAGGCCATAAAGCATTGGCTTTGGCTTACATGGCTCCAATGAAAATCGCATAGTGACTGATGCAAATTTATGCCAATCCCTGTTGGGTCTAATTTTTAGACGCGCGTTTACAATGTTTTTGCCAGATTTGCATGCCGCAACAACAATTTGGTTTATAAGGCATGTCGGCAAAAAAGAAAAAAAAAATAGAAAAAAACATTGTTGCGGCCAATGGAGCTGTGGGTACGTGAATAAAAAAAAAAACATACACAATTCATTTTCGAAATGAATTTGTTCCGCTGTAAGGGCCATAAATGCATTTAAATTTATTGGAATGCGCGACAGCAGCGCTATAAGAAGAAGCAGATTCCAAATACATATTAAAAAAAAAAAAATAGCACACCCATTGAATGACAATAAATTATCAATTTTATTTTGACAACGCGAAAAATCCCGCTCCAAGAGAGAGAGAGAGAGGGAGGGTCGAGCGCAAAATGTCAGATGAAATTGAGCAAAATATATTCAGGCGGGGCATTTGTGACAGGAAGTTTCAGTTGAATGGTTTGTTCCAGCGGCCGGTTCTGAATTGCCAGCACATATCCTCTATACACATACATATATGTATGTGTATAACGTATGTATCCTTTGACAAACATTTGACTGAAATGCACTACGCCAGTGCCGTTGGGCGTGACAATATTAATTTATATGCTTAATCGCAATGGCCCCCAACTAAATCCAGCTTACAAACGAGTATATCGCTTGACTTTTATTGCAGACATTCCATCTTCGTCAGCCCGTGGACGCAGTGCCCCCGACGATGTTGCCTTCTATTGCCCGGAGGAGGGCCTCTTTCCCGATGACTACGACTGCCGCATCTACTACCGCTGCGAGAAGCGTTCCGAGCATTACATCAAACCGTACATGTTCGCCTGCAAGGAGGGCACGGTCTTCTCGCGCACCCTCCAACTGTGTCTGCCTCCGATGCTGGCCGGACGCGGGGAGTGCGAGCCGTACATGAACGAAATCGATGTCGGCGAGGAGGCTGACAGCCAGCTGCCGTTTGATGGGCTCGTCAATAACCAGAATGGACATAATGCGATGCTTAATAGCGCCGTAACACCCGCCGCCGCCTTGCAGCTGCACACCTATGCGACTGCAAATCAGTTGCCCACAAATTATGGACTGACAGGCCTGAGTGGTGTTTCAGTCATATCCTTTTCGAGCTCATCATCTTTGCGCTCGGCCGCTGAGGAGGGGGGAGTGTCGTGCGAGGATGATGGATTTATGAGTGATCCCATTGACTGCACCGTGTTCTATCGCTGCATCTCCAATGGACGCGGCTATAATAAAATTGGCTTTCGCTGTTCGGACGGAACTGCCTGGGATGAGTCTCTGCAGTCCTGCAACCATATAGTCAAAGTTCGTGCCAATGGCGGCTGCCGCAACCAGGCCGATCCTCTCAGCGATGAGCAAACTTCGACACAGTCCTCCCAATCGAGCTATCAGAATACCACCTCATCGTCATCTTCGTCCAGCAGTCAACAAAGCTCCTCGACGAGCTCCTCAATGTCTTCCTCGTCCAATAGCTCGAGCTCATCCAACAATTCCTCGAATCAATCGAGCTCAAGCTCCAACCAGGAGTCATCCACATCGAGCAGCAACCAACAATCGTCGAACAGCAATCAGTCTTCCAGCAGCACAGAAAGTTGGAGCAGTAGCACTCAACAGTCCAGCTCGGGTTCTTCGAATCAAAACTCTGGCAGCAACCAATCGTCCAGTAATAACCAAAACTCTGGCAACAACCAGTCTTCAAGCGGCAACCAGAACGCCAACAACAGTCAAAATGCCAGCAGCCAAAGCTCCAACAATAACGAAAATCAAAGCTCCAGCAGTAACCAGTCTGCCAGCAACAACCAGAGCAACCAGAGCAACCAGAGCTCATCGAACAATCAGTCGAGCAGTGGCTCCAGCAACCAATCCAATCAGACAAACACGCCTGCACCAAGCGAATGCGAGGACGAGAACACCTATATACCCGATCAAAAGGATTGCGCCAAGTTCTACAGATGTCGCAAGGATATTGATGGTAATCTAGAAGTGGTGCCATTTACATGTGGTCCTGGCACTGTTTGGGGTCAAGAGGAGAAGGTCTGCGTTCTGCCTAGCGAAGATCAGAAGAAACAATGCAACATACAATCTGGCTCCTCCAGCAGCGGGAATAGTCAAGCTGGCAACAGCACATCCAGCCAGCAATCCAACGGAAACAATCAATCAAGCAGCTCTAGTTCCGGCTCAAACAACAGTAATAACAACAATCAATCTAGCAACCAGCAAGGATCATCGTCAAGCAGCAGTCAGCAAGGCTCGTCGAGCAGCAATCAAGGCTCATCTTCATCGTCAAACTCCAGCAATCAGTCCTCTAATCAGAGCAGCAATCAAAGCTCTTCATCTTCTTCAAACTCTGGCAACCAATCGTCCACATCCAACTCGAGCTCTTCAAACTCGACAACAAGTAAACCTTCAAATCCTGACGGACAGTGCGAGCACTCCGAAACATATTTACCTGACAAAAAGGACTGTGCGCGCTTCTATCGCTGCGTCGACAATGGAAATGGTGGATTTGATAAGATTGCTTTCGATTGTGCACCGGGCACTGTTTGGGATCCCGAATCAAAGGGCTGCAACCATCCAACTGATGTACAGAAGGAAGAATGCAAAGCTATGGCAAGTGGTACAGGAAGTGCAACAAATCAAGGCTCGTCTTCCAATCAGGGATCGTCGTCCAATCAAGGATCATCTTCTAATCAAAGTTCCTCATCAAATCAAAGCTCCTCATCGAATCAAGGATCTTCATCCAATCAAGGCTCGTCTTCCAATCAAGGATCGTCGTCTAATCAAGGATCATCTTCCAATCAAAGCTCGTCATCAAATCAAAGCTCCTCGTCGAATCAAGGATCTTCATCCAATCAAGGATCATCCTCCAACCAAGGATCATCCTCTAATCAAGGCTCTTCATCCAATCAAGGATCGTCATCTAATCAGGGATCATCATCCAACCAAGGATCGTCTTCTAATCAAGGATCTTCATCAAGTCAAAGCTCATCTTCTAATCAGGGATCATCCTCCAATGAAGGATCATCCTCTAATCAAGGCTCTTCATCCAATCAAGGATCGTCATCTAATCAGGGATCATCATCCAACCAAGGATCGTCTTCTAATCAAGGATCTTCATCAAGTCAAAGCTCATCTTCTAATCAGGGATCATCCTCCAATCAAGGATCATCATCTAATCAGGGCTCTTCATCCAATCAAGGTTCTTCCTCTAATCAGGGATCATCATCCAACCAAGAATCATCTTCTAATCAGGGATCTTCATCAAATCAAAGCTCATCTTCTAATCAGGGATCATCTTCCAATCAAGGATCATCTTCCAATCAAGGATCATCCTCGAATCAGGGTTCTTCCTCTAATCAAGGATCGTCTTCTAATCAAGGATCTTCATCAAATCAAGGATCGTCCACCAATCAAGGATCTTCATCAAATCAAGGCTCATCTTCAAATCAGGGATCATCCTCGAATCAAGGCTCATCTTCTAATCAGGGATCATCCTCAAATCAATCCTCTAACCAAGGATCATCTTCCAATCAAGGCTCCTCCTCTAATCAAGGCCCGTCATCGAATCAAGGCTCTTCATCCAACCAAGGCTCATCTTCAAATCAGGGATCATCCTCGAATCAAGGCTCATCTTCTAATCAGGGATCATCCTCAAATCAATCCTCTAACCAAGGATCATCTTCTAATCAAGGCTCCTCCTCTAATCAAGAATCGTCTTCGAATCAAGGATCATCCAACCAGGAACCAACCACAACAACAACGCAGAAACCATTCAAGCCAGCAGAGAAATGTGAGAGTGAGGAAACCTTCTTAGACGACAAGGAAAACTGTTCGAAATTCTATCGATGCGTTGACAACGGAAAGGGCGGATTTATGAAAGTATCATTTACTTGCCCATCGAATACCCTTTGGCATCCCGAGGCCAACAGCTGCAACCATCCATCGCAGATTGACATGCAGAGCCTTAAATGCAAGCGGGTCATCAATAGCAGCAATAACCAATCCTCTACATCATCGTCTTCAAGCAGCAGCTCCACAGAGCAAACGACATCTACAAGCTCTCAATCTAGCAACAATATCAGCTCTACAACATCTAGCTCAAGTAGCTCTAGCTCAAGTAGCTCTAGCTCCACCCCGTCGCCAAAGCCCTCTGGTACTTGTAATGTTAATGGTCAATTTCTAGGCGATGATGAAGACTGTGCCAAGTTCTATCGCTGTGTGGACAACGATAGAGGTGGTTTCTATACGGTGGCCTTTTCGTGCCCGCCCGGAACTGTGTGGGACGCCCAGATCGAAGCTTGTAATCATGCCTGGGCCGTCAAAGATAAAAATTGTGGCAGTAGCGTCAGCACTCAACGGCCAATCCCACCCACTACACCTAATCAGGGCTCATCGCAATCCCCAAGCACACCAAAACCCTCCACTGTAAAGCCCACAACACAAAAACCAACCCAAAGACCAACACAACAACCGATCACTACAACGGCGAAACCCTCAACCCAAAAACCAACTACCGAAAGGCCGGTTACGCAAAAGCCAACGAGCCCAACTACTAATGTGAAGTGTACATCTGAGGGCTTCATTGGTGATCCAGACAATTGTGCGAAATTCTATCGTTGCATCAGCAATGGTAAGGGCGGCTTTAGCCAGGTGGCTTTCCATTGTGCGGCGGGCACAGTTTGGGACCAGGACCTACAAACCTGCAATCACGACTTGAATATGTGCAATCCAAAGCCAGAAGATGGCCCTGGCAATGCTACAACTGAGTCCGATAAGGGTCCATGTGACAATACCACTGAGGGTCCGACAACTATTTCGCCTACCACCACGGAGCCAACTACGACAAATCGTCCAACTGAGCCAGCCACAGAATCAACAACGGATAGGCAGACCACAACCAACCAACCTACAACCAACCAGCCCACAAGTACTCCAGCTGAGCCAACAACAACATATCAACCTCCAACGACACTATGGACTACGACAACACCCAGACCAACCTCAACTGAAAGTCAGCCCACGACATCGTGGAGCACTCCCACGCAATCGCCAACCACAACGATGGTGCCCGAAACTACAACCATGGTGCCCAATTTGCCACCTGGCACCGAGTGTAAGGGCGAAGGCTTCATGCCTGATCCTAACAATTGCCGAAAGTTTTACAGGTGTCAGAAAACAGGAGACTCCTACACGAAGCATGAATTTATGTGCGCCAAGAATACGGGCTGGAATGCAGATATCCAAACCTGTGATCATGCGCAGAATGTCCCTGGCTGTTCAGGCCAAACTGAAGCTCCAACAACAACAAATCCAACCGTGACAACTACCGAAATTACTACTTCAGATCGACCAACGAAACCTACAACAGAACCACCAACGAAGCCAACAACAGAGCCACCAACAAAACCAACAACAGAACCACCAACAAAGCCAACAACAGAAC